TTGCCAGGTCATTACTGTGTTTATGAGAAGGGGGCAGCAAGCCCGCCACGTATTTGCATGCGGACCCTCACTGTGCTGCACATATACCTACACACGATGAAGATTAGATCTGCCATCTTTACTTCATGTATGTTTCGTCTTGTCATGCTGTGTTCATCACAGCCTTTAATGTCTGCGTTCCATTTTCACTTTTGATCAACAGTTACCTGATCGCTTTTTTCTTTTCTTTTTTCTGAGACAGAGTTTTGTTCTTGTTGCCCAGGCTGGAGTGCAAATACCACGATCTCGGCTCACCGCAACCTCCACCTCCCGAGTTCAAGCGATTCTCCTGTCTCAGCCTCCCGAGTAGCTGGGATTACAGGCATGTGCCACCACACCCAGCTAATTTTCTATTTTCGGTAGAGATGGGATTTCTCCGTATTGGTCAGGCTGATCTGAAACTCCCAACCTCAGGTGATCCGCCCTCCTCAGCATCCTAAAGTGTTGGGATTACAGGTGTGAGGCACAGTGCCCAACCATTTTTTTTTATTTTTCTGTAGTAAACACTGATGGAGAAAATATAAATGTTGCTAAATATTTCTTCCAAGGAAGTTTGAGTTACGCTTTATGCTAAGGCCTTCTCTTAGAGCTTCACAGTGCAAATCTGAGTCATAAAGGCTCTGAGAGTTCTTGCATCTTATGAAAAGGCTTTGAGAATTCTTGCATTCCCCAATTTTGGAATGTGCTCCCTTTAGCTATTTCTTTAAGCTAAATTATTAGAGGAAGCATTTCTGGATCTAAGACGATGTACAGTTCACAGAGATTTTCTTCTATTATTCTCTAGAATGTTGTTTTAGGAACTGACAAACTTAGAGATACCTCCTTCTAGGCTAAACTGTGGCTTTTTAAAATAACAATTTGATGAAAAGTTCAAGACACTAAAATATATGGAGATATTCTTTTAAAAAATCAAACAATTGAACCAAATACAAAGAATCACGTGGTTTTTTTTTTTCACTTTTATTTTAGATTCAGGGGATGCATGGGCAGATTTGTTACCTGGGTGTATCGCGTGATGCCGAAGTTTGGGGTACAAACGATCCCATCACCTAGACTGTGCATAGTACCCAATAGTTTTCAACCATTACATCCCTTCCATGCTCCTCCTTCCAGCAGTCCCCAGTGTTTATTGCTCCCGTCTTTGTGTCTGTGGGTACTGAGTGTTTAGCTACCACTTATAACTGAGAACATGCAGTATTTGGTTTTCTGTTCCTGTGCTAATTTGCTTAGGATCAATGGCCTCCAGCTGCATCCATGTTGCTGCAAAAAACACAATTTCATTCTTTTTTATGGCTGCATAGTATTCCATGGTATACACATACCACATTTTCTTTATCCATAATACCATTAATGGGCACTGGATTGGCTCCCTGTGTTTGCTATTGTGCATAGTGCTGCGATAAACACGAGTGCATGTGTCTTTTTGGCAGAACAATTTATTTCCTTTTGGATATATGCCCAGTAATAGGATTGCTGAGTCAAATGGCAGTTCTGTTCTGAGTTCTTTGAGAAATCTCCAAACTGCTTCCTACAGGGGCTGAACTGATTTGCATTCCCACCAAGAGTATATAAGAGTTCCCTTTTCTCTGCAACCTGGCTAGTTTCTGTGATTTTTTGACTTTTTAGTAATACCCATTCTGACTTGTGTGAGATGGTATCGCATTGTGATTTTGATTTGCATTTCTCTGAGGATTAGTGATGTGGAGCATTTCTTCAAGTGTTTCTTGGCCACATGTATGTGTTCTTTTGAGAAGTGTCTGTTCACGTCTTTTATCATTTTGAATGGGCTTATTGTTTGCTTGTTGAATTGTTAAGGTTCCTTATAGATTCTGGATATGAGACCTTTGTCAGAGGCATAGTTTGTGAATGTTTCTTTTCATTCTGTAGGTTGTCTGTTTATTCTGTTCATAGTTTCTTTGCCAATTTTTGGTTTTGGTGGAATTGCTTTTGGGGACTTTGTCATAAATTCTTTGCCAAGGTCAGTGTCCAGAATGGTATTTCCTAGGTTTTTTTTCATCTGGATTCTTTTCTGGTCTTCTGGCAAGTCAGTTTAGAAGAGGTTGATTTATTCAGAAAGTGTCCATTTTTCTTTTCTAGATTTCAGACAGGAAAATGTAAAATGAGTAAAATTTGTGTATATAAAGTAGCTCAAAGGTTTGCGTAAGATTTAAATGCTGCGTGACAGGTAGTGGGTATTCGATCAATGCCAGTTGTGAATCCTGCTTTTCAGATTGCATAACAAGGCTGAAAGTAAATGTTCTGGACAGGCTAGCTACTCTCCATACATCCAACCTAAGGGCAATCATCCTGGCTTATTTATTCAACAAATATTGAGAAATTCACACTGTGAGCCAGATCCTAACTAGCCATGAGGACAGCAGTGAACGAGACAGTGTGGAGTTTCCATTCTAGTGGGAAGACAGGCAGTGAACAAGCCGGCGAATGGCCGACCACACAACTGGTGTGATTACAGCTTACAGCTCTTGCCCATGGGAGAGTCAACAGCATAATGGGATGGAGAGTAACTGGAGGAGGCCACCTTAGATGGGCTGGTTAGGAGGGAGGTGACATGTGATCTGAAGGGTGATAATGAACCAGCCAAGGGGAGCAGAGAGAGGAGACACCAATAGCTAATGCAAAGGCTGGGAGGACGGGAGAGCCTGGCTGGCTTTGGGCTGCAGAACAGGATGAGTTGATGGCAGGAGATGAACAGGTATCAGCCTGTGAAGCCCCAAAGGGTTTGAAGGCTGAAAGGGACCTGATGTGCATTTTTTAAATACCAATCTCCTGCTCTGTGGACAAAAGAATGGAGGACCCGGAAACTGCAGTAGGATTGTATTTCTACGCTAGTGCTAGTGTAGAACCTCCTACATCCAGAAAGATGGCACAGCCGAGCCGCATTCCTCCTGGCAACTGACGTTCCCACATGTGGAAACAGCTGGCACCCTTATACAGAGGGAGGCTTGCAGGCCCGGGAAGCGTCTCATGCCCCTGCCAGTCTCAGTGCTTGACATCACTGACCACCAAGGGCACCAAACCCAACTGCTTCCCGCAGGGATTGAGCCATGCTTGTCGTCATTGAAATCCCTAGGGATATCAATTCCTTGGAATTCCATAGCTTGCTCTTCCACTGGCTTCTGACATGTTGAATTTTCTGCCCATTCACTCCCCCATCTTTAACCTGGCCTGTATGGCCAGACACGTGGCCAGTCAGTCTAAGAGAGAAAGACAAATTCCATACCTGTGTGAATATTACAACATCAGATAGTAAAAGGCCTTGGTGAAGGTAAGCATCCCGAGGGCAGGTGGCTCCCACCACGATCACTGCAAACTCCCCGGTCCAGAGTACTGGGGCAGAGTATCTGCCCAGAGTACGGGGCAGATAGAAGGTGGTCAAAGCACATGTAATGAATGAACACTGGAAATCAGTACACAGGGCTGGGAATCTGTGGTTCTGAGCACTGCGTGGTGGAAATAACTCTCCAGCTCCTTCACAGAACAGGCAGCAGCATCACCTGTTTTGGCGATGGTGCCTCCAGACGATGATCCATGAGAGCACAATGGACTTGGGCTCCCTGGTGAGCTCACTCCATGTGAAACCCAGATGCTTCTGTCTCCAGGGACCCTGCAGCTCTCCCAGTAGCCTGGCCTCTGTCACAAATGCAGTCTGTAGATGCCTCTGAAAAGGGAGGTCCAGTCATCACCTATGCAAAGCACAGCCGCCTGTAAGAACCTCCTTGCTTGGCAGCCAGCCAGACCACATTCACTGACCTTCAAGGCGTAATGTGAGGCTCAGCCATCTATCTCACTGTGGTCCCGGCGGCAGCTGGCTTCATTTACTGACTTCTTGAAAGTGCCAGTATCCCTGCTCAGCTTGGTCTGAGCTGGACTCAGAGACCCAGGTGCCAGAGCAAAGGCCACAGCGTGTCAATTAATCACCCAATAAAAATAAACTCTGAGAGCAAATACAGAGAGGTGATTAACTTTCCCATTATTGTCTTCTGACATCCCAGTTTGTTCTTCCAGTGAGCGTGTTTCTTTGAGATAAACCACCCTGAGGAACTGAGCGCCTGGCCAGACACCACCATTCCTTGGCATGAGTGAACAAAAACAGAATATGGCCTGCAAGCAGTGCAGCCTGAGACCCGGGCAGAGAGAGCCCCCTGCCCCAGCTTGCACACTGCGGAGGGCCTTACAGAAAATCTGAAGCAAAGCCCAGACTATTTTATTCTGCTTTTTGCACTTGTAATAAAGTGTTATTAGTGTTTAGTAACCAGGTAAACCCCCAAAGCTCTACCTTCCCTCCTGTGACCATCGATGTACTCCAAATCATGAACAGGGACCAGCAACAGCCCTTACCAAAAGAAGATTGGAAGCAAAAAAAAAAAAGGAACTTACCATGAATCAATTTAAAGTGAGGACCAAAGTGTGACTCAAAACTTAAAAATATATATAATTTGTTAAGATATGATTGTTACCAAAATACCAAGGGTTTGATCTGAATCCTGCTGTTCACCACACAGAAAGCCAGTCACTGAGACAAGACAAAAGCCAGGGAAGGAGGCTTTATCGGGTGCTGCTACAGCCAAGGAAATGGGAATTCAGTCTCAAATCCGTCTCCCTGACTGACTAAAATGAGGGGTTAATGCAGCAGAGAAGAAATGTAACCACGTGTGGGAAAACAGGAATTAACGAGGGGGCAGGAAGAAAAGTTGGTCAGTAGGAAACAGGTGGTCCTTGAGGTAGTCCTGATGGGTGTGGGGGGGTCTGGCTCCTCATTGCCCAGAGGCAGTGATCTGGTGAGTTTCAGCTCCTTGGTTTTATCTGGGAGACCTGATGGTTTGCTTCTTGAGAAAGGAACTCAGACAAGACAGTTGTAACTTTCTCAAGTTTTAAGACTGGAAGGGTCCATTTCTATGGTTATTTAAAAAATAAAAAAAAAAAACCATAGGCATCAGTTCTGTGAAACAATTGGGTCACTTTATTTTGGAGAAAAAAATGATGAACATAAGTTTGTTTATAAGTTTAACCACAATCATAGGCTATTCTCAGAGTGAACACAGATGAACCAAGAATTGTTTTGCTTTTGACATAATCTTTACAACATTCCATGACAGTACATGCCATATGTCACCTCATGCTCAGCGTATGCCGTGCAGTTATAAAGAGGTTGTCTTTCCTACCCACTCAAGGGCTTTGTCCATTTCCCGGAGGACCTCTGCCCAGTCCTTTGCCACTCAAATCACTCTTTCGAAGCAGCTATAAACACACTCCTTTCTCTTCTTCAATCATTGATTCTGTTCTCTCCATTGCACTTTCACTTGTCATGGATTTACTTATGATTCTTTTTTCTTTTTCTTCTTCTTTTATTGCTTTACTTGTAATTGACAAATAATAATTGTATATCTTTATGGGGTGTAATGTGATGGTGTGGCCTATGTGTACATAGAAATTCTGATCAACATCTCCCCCTTCCTCAGCCCTCTCCCTGCTACTGTGAATTTGACTCTTTTAGATTCCACAGATACATGAAATGATGAAGTATGATGTGTCTTTCTGTGCTTGGCTTATTTCACTTAGCGCTATTCTTACACTCTGAGCATCCTCCGAGAACCCTGCGTCTTTTGTGAGATTGACAGTCATACTTTGTGCCGGACTGGCGCTTCTTTGGGATGGTTTTGTCACTGGGAGGAGACAACTCATGAAGTCTGCTGACCAGGTAATACCAGGATATTTAGCTGCAAGAATTATGGGCCTGGTCAGGAGTTCATTCATGACATTGCAAATGGAATACTGGGATGATGAGCGGCGTTTGTGGGTCTTGTTCATATTTGTATTCTCAGGCCTAGGAGTGCAGAGAAAAAGGGATAAAACATACTGAATGAAAAGAGTGTGAACAAATGGATGAAGAGCCTCACACCAAGGAAAGCTGACGTTGCTACCAACTGGTTCCAAACTCCACGTCTTCCTGTTCTTTTCCGAGCACAGTGTATACTGCTTAGAAAAAGTCACCCAACCTGAATACGTGGATGTAGCAAATTTAACCCTAGACCTGACAGTACATGTAGGAGCAGGCTTGATCAGTTGTTAATCATGATAATGATAATGAATGATGAAAGCAATCCTGTGGCTGCACCTTAAAGCATCTGTGTAATGCTTTCACCCACACTGAGAATGTTCAATCCCTGTTTTCCTCTAGGACTGATAAGTGTGTTTCTGGATTTCAGAAATCAGATAGCTTCCGAAGTCTCAGCGTGTTAATATAGTAACTAAATATGTTAAGGTCCTAGCCTCTCAATTTTTAATTACTATTTAATTTTTTCTCTCCTAATTTATTTAATTTGTATGATACTGTTAAATTTGTGGCTTTACACCTTGAATCACTTTGTCTGGATTTCTCTGTTAACACTTTGCAATCAATTTGGTCGAAAGAAACAATGAAATGATCCTTATGAAGGGTCAGATGACCCTTTATAAGGGGACATAAATATATTTGCAAAGACACTTACAAAGCTGTGAAGATGCCGTTTCCTTGCTCTAATAACTGCTGCATTTATGTAGGTTTCAACACTGGGGTGGGGGAGGGCAGTGGCGGAGAGGGCAGTGGCAGTGAGGGCATAGGGAAACTATGTAAATCACCCCTGGAAATAAAACTGCAAAATGGACTAAAAAGCCCTCACTAGGAAGAGCCTGGTCACGGCAAAATCCTATTGCAGGCACAAAAAGGTCCTATTGCAGCAGTTGGGAGACCTTTGGTAAATTCTAACAAAGAATTAACAGCCTCAAAGAAAAGGCCAGGTATGAACTTTGCCAGGAGAAACTAGGAGCAGACTTGCTTGCCTGGAACAGGTGGTGAGAAGGTTTTTAGAGAGGATGTGTGCAGTCCCTGACAAGTAGCTGGTGCCCAGGAAATGTCATTTTATTGTATTCAGGGAAGGTTCAGTGCACATGGGACTCACACACGAAGGAAAAGGTCAGAGAGTCCACAGGAAAGAGTGGGAGCTCAGAACGGTGGTTCTCAGGTGTTTGTCTGCAGGCATGCCCCTAATTTATGCTGACCATGCCCACATTCAGTGGCACCTAGCTGTGGCCGCATCCTGTTCTTGCCCACTAGTGAAAGTGGCAAAGAGCGACTATTTCCTAGACTAAATCATTCTCAGACTTCAGTTATTACTGAGCACTGTTAGCCACGAGCTCCTCGATATCTACATCACAGCTGAGTAGTTTATCTCAGGGCTAAGTCTCCAAGTTTGACTTCAAGGTTACTGAGAGCCTTCCAATGAAAGAAGTATTTAAGCCAATATTGTTTCAGCATTTATAGTGATGAAACAATCCACCTATATACAGGTGCTGTATAATTTTAACCCTTTCTCAAATGTGTATAATTTTTATAAACAGAAATACAATTTTAAGAAAGTTTTACACCAATGTAATAGAGTTCTTTTTTTTTTTTTCAAGACAGAGTCTTACTCTGTCGCCAGGCTAGAGTGCAGTGGCACAATCTTGGCTCACTGCAGTCTCCGCCTCCCAGGTTCAAGCAATTCTTTTGCCTCAGCCTCCCATGTAGCTGGGATTGCAGGTATGCGCCACCGTGCCCAGCTCATTTTTGTATTTTTAGTAGAGATGGGGTTTCACCATGTTAGCCAGAATGGTCTCGATCTCCTGACCTCACGATCCTCCCACCTCGCCTCCCAAAGTGCTGGGATTACAGGCATGAGCCACCACACCTGGCTGGCTTTTTTGTTGTTGTTTTAAGGAAATGTTGCCGTCCTGTAAATTCCAGTCCTATGTTTCTGAGTTATTATTCCCCACTAAGGAAAGCCCAGGTGTGGAACACAGCCCTGGGTTCCAGCTCAGAGTTTAATCATTATTCATAGAATAGTGGTTCTCAAACTCTGGTGAATCAGAACCACCTGGAAAACATGTTAAAAATGGAAAGGTCCCATCATCAACAGCCCCGATCATTCTAATACACACCCAAATTGGAAAACTAGTGGCACAGACGAATACCCAACCCTAGTGGGCACTCACAAGGCAAACAAAAATCAAGCTATGCTTGGGAGGCAGAGATCCACATTGGAATTACACTTCTGCTGTTTGAAAGCTGCATAACTTAGGCAAGCCCCACTCTGAGCCTTTGTTTCCTTGTCTGTAAAGTGAGGGTGGTAATACCTGCCTCCCAGGTAGACCGGGCAATGGCAGACAGTAATGTATATGAATACATACATTGTGTGGCACCTCCTCAGTCATCCATGAACGTGCGCTTCCAGTTGTAGACTCGACAGCAGAAAGTAAATGCTGAAAAATAGGAAAACAGTCACAACACATGATTTATGATGTGAGGGAGGCTGCTGGCATGGCCCTTGTCACGAGGGTAATTAAATAACCGTTTGTGTAATTACTAATTTATATCCTGTCTCCCTGCTGCCGTGGAAGTTCCAAAAAATGGAGGAATACACTGCCGTCTTCCCAACACCAAGCTCAGTGCTTGGCATGTAGCAGACACCCAGCAAATATTTATTCCAAATGAGCGAGGGAATGATACAGTCACAGTAAAAATGTGTGTGTGTCTAGGTATATATCTGAACATAGGCTGGAAGCCTCTAGACCAAAATGTTAAGAGTGCTTATCTCTGGAAGTGGATTAGGGTGATTTTAATTTTTTTTCTGTTTTTCTCCTCTATATTGTCTGAATTTTCTGCAATTAACACAGAGGACCAAATCGGTGTGTCCTTGGCTAACTGTGAGTGGGGTTGAAGCTACCAGCTACCACTGTACCAACAAAAGCTTGTTTTCTTGTGATTCCAGCTTCCTTGGGGGTTTCAATACATAGTCTCTAGAATTAAAAGTGTTTTAGGAGAAACAGGAATTTAGTGATTTCCAAAGATAAGTCAAATTTCTTCTGATTCGACATTTCCTTGTCCTGATCATGGATGATACAGAAAATAGTTCACACAGCAGGCCTGAGACTGCTGTCCCTAGAAACACCTGCTTGCAAGGTTGGCCTCAGCTGGTGTGTAGAATCTTGGATGTGGGAGGGGTGCCACTCTCCTAACTCATAAGCGTGGTTCACTGCACCTAAACTGCTTGTGCAAACAAATGTGCTTTATGCTGAATATGTGCTTTCCCTCTGGGAGTCAAGGATTTTGCTAATGCCAGGCAGAGGGTGCCTATGTGACCAGCCCCCAATAAAAAACCCTGGGCGCTGAGTCTTTGGTGAGCTTCCCTGAGGGAGAACATTTCACGCATGGTGTCACAACTTGCCGCTGGAATTAAGCGCGTCCTGTGTGATTCCCCTGGGAACGGTCTCCCGCAGGCTGGTACCTGGTTTCCGCAGGTTGTTGCCCATGTGCCTTTTCTCTGTGCTGTTTGCTGTGCATATTTTCACTGTGATAACTTTTAACCATTGAATATGACAATATGCTGTGTTCTGTGGGCCTTCCTGGCAAATCACTGAACCTGGGAGTGGTCTTCCAGCACACAGACCAACCTAAATAAGCCCCAGTGGGCAGCGTGCATCAGATCCAAGGCAACTAAAGGGATGGGAGTGTCTGTAGCAGTGTAGAAGTAGGATTTTGGCTGGAGCAAGAAAGATCGATGGTCCAATGGCTCTTTTAAGAGATCTGCCTATGTGGGAGGGATGGGCACTTCAGGATGAAAGCGCCTTTAGCATTCTCAGTCACCCAGCACATGGGTCAACCAATGCATGTTAAAGGAAGTTTGTACTCTCATTCATTCATTCACTCATGCATGCATTCAACAACTGAGTGCCTACCTACTCACTGTGTGCTGGCCACCCTTCTAGGTTCTAGGTATGAAGGGTGGAGTAAGATAAATGAGTCGTTGCCCCTAGGAACTCACATTCTAAGTTGTGGAGCTGGCCAGGGAAGGAGACAAACTTTAGACCAGCCATCCAGAATGGCTTCTCTGGGGATCACAGAAGCCTCAGTGTTGGAGCTGAGATCCTACAAAGTATAAAACACACATGAGAGCCAGGCGTGGTGGCTCACACCTGTAATCCCAGCACTTTGGGAGGCCGAGGCATGCAGATCACCTGAGGGTGGGACCAGCCTGACCCACATGGAAATACCCCATCTCTACTAAAAATACAAAACTAGCTGGGAGTGGTAGCTACTTGGGAGGCTAAGGCAGGAGAATTGCTTGAACCCAGGAGGCGGAGGTTGAGGTGAACTGAAATTGCACCATCGCAATCCAGCCTGGGCAGCAAGAACAAAACTCCATTTCAAAAAAAAAAAAATACACACATGAGAAAATCTAAGACTTATCCCATGAGCAAAGTGGAAAGGGTTTTAGGAGAACAGGAATTTAGTGATTTCTAAAGATAAGTAGAATTTTTTGAGACCAGAAATAATTTGCTAATTTCAAGAAATGAAAGGAAGGCCAGTGAGTCTCTAACTTGGGGAGGTTGAGGAAAGAGGTAGAAAATGAGGATAGAAAGCCAGGCAGGGCCAGGTGGGTCCTCCAGGATGTCAGAGACCATGGTTAAGAGTTTGGGTCTTACTCTATACTCTACAGGAAGTCAGTGGAGGATTTTCAGCCGGGGATTCACACACTGTGATATAACGCTGACTGCTCTTTGGAGAATGGATTGTAGCAAGCAGAAGAGAAGCAAAGAATCAGGTGCACTGCAGTGGTCTACACAAAAGACGCTCCCTAGTGGTCTTACCGCCTGCCTCCTACAATGATCCAGAGAAAGTGGATCCACACCACAGCTACCTTAGTCCACTGCGGGTGTGGAAGGCGACGATTCTCTTGGGTATGATTTCATAGTAGGGGTCACAATGTCTGTAAAAGGCAAAGTTTTAGTCCATGTGCCATCAGAAGATGCCAGCTGTCATGTACTGATCAGAATTGTCCTGTGCTAGAGTCTCATGCAGATGTCCACAGGATTTCACCAGGGGCTCCAGGATGCCTGGGAGGGGAAGGGGCTGGAGGTATCAAGAGCTCCTGCCCTGTTCTCAGCTGTTATGGAGTCACAGAAGGTCATAGCTCCATGAGAGGCAAGGCAAGAAGTATCCCACCCTCCCAACCCCAAGAGGCCCTGCCTAGGCCCCTCACTGGGCAACTCTTCTTGTCCACATCTGCTGGTGGTAGCATCTGCCTCCCTGGGAAATTTGCTAATTTCAAGGAATAAAAGCAAGGCCAGTGATTGTGTCCTTAGGGAGGCTGAGGAAAGAAGTGGGAAATGCAAGTAGAAAGTCAGGCATGTCCAGATGGATCGTCTAGGGCCCTTGAGACCATAGAAGTCCTTTCTGTTTACTGAGACTGCTTTCTCTGGGAGAGGAAAAGAACACTACCTTGGACTGTGATGGGCTGTGGCTGTCTGACTGATCTAGGCTTCTGGAATTCAGTGGCCCTTCAATTTTATCTGTACATTTTGTCAGAAGATTTGAAATATACCCTTTACTTTACACTCAAGGCCATAGCTACATAAGCTATCTTAAGCAAGTGGATTTCTTTCAGTTGGAAATTCTGTGTATTTCCAGTTCTGCTTTTAATAATATGGGGTCCACTGGACTGTAATTAAGGAGGGGCGAAGCATCCTCCTTCTATTTCCCTTCTTTCCTGTATGTTTACGGGGTTGTTTGCATCCTTCAGTGGGAATAGAAAACTACCTTGTATCTCTCCTTTCCTGGTTTTTATTTTCTAGGTTTCTCATAGTCTTTCGTGTGTGTGTGTGTGTGTGTGTGTGTGTGTGTGTGTGTAGAGAGAGAGAGAGATCCATGTATTACTAAAGCTATAATCTCTCTCTATATGAATTTTCCTTGTGTATAATCTGTGCCGTGTCTAGCTCTGTTATGTTGCATTAATCCGTTTGGCTATTGTGCACTACTTGCCCAATATTACTTTGTGACTTTGTGTGTGTGTGAGACAGTCTCGTCCTGTGGCCGAGGCTGGAATGCAGTGGCACACTCTCAGCTCACTGCAACGTCCGCCTCCCAGGTTCAACCCATTCTCCTGCCTCAGCCTCCTGAGTAGCTGGGATTACAGGTGCTCACCACCACACCCAGCTAATTTTTTATATCTTTAGTAGAGACAGGGTTTCCCCATGTTGGCCAGGCTAGTCTCAAACTCCAGACCTCCTGATCCGCCTGCCTCAGCCTCCCAAAGTGCTGGGATTACAGGCATAAGCCACCATGCCCAGCCCACTTTCTGACAATTTTAAGTCTAAATTGAAAAGAAAGCTACAGTAACTCATGTAATATTGGCACGTATGCTGCACAAATATGGGTCCCCTATATCAGGGGTCCCCAACCCCTGGACCAGAGATGGTACCACCTGAGCTCTGCCTCCTGTCAGATCAGCGGCAGCATCCAATTCTTATAGAAGCACAAACTCTATTGTGAACTGCACATTCGAGGGGTCTAGGCTACATGCTCCTTAGGAGAATCTGGTGCCTGAACTGAGGTGGAACAGTTTAATCTCAAAGCCATGCCCCACCTGTTTGTAGAAAAATTGTCTTCCACGAAACCAGTCCATGGTGCCAAAGAGGTTGGGGACTGCCGCCCTACCTCACAGAAAGCAAGTGACCCCAAGAAGCCAGCAGAAGGAACTTGTCAAACCTTTGATCTCTTCCTCCTTCCCACCAATACTTGAGCCCCTGAGGCCAGAGGCTGGCAGCCCTCAGCTCTAGAGGTCTTTCTACGTCAACAGCTGGTCCTGGTCACTTACCTGGAAGCTCTCTTACCTGCTCCGATGGGCACCCCGCCCCCAGGGTGGCGCAGACCCTGATCACCCCCACTGCACTGCCAGATTCTGTTAATCAGTTTGCCCTGCATCTCCCAGCACTGACACCGAGAAGAGACCGAGGCTTGGCAAGCACTCAGGACAGCACTCAGGGCAGCTACTGTGAAGCTACATTACAGACTGAAATGAGCTCGGTTTTTAATTTGATTTTTTTTTTCCTGTAACAAGCAAAGTTCACATTACAGATAAATTGCCCGGAAATTCCAATTTAATATGGCATATGCATTTTTCAGGCCTAGAAGCATAGAAAACATCTTGCACACTGGTATTTTTACACTGAAAGGTTTATTAAAAAGACAGCTTTGAAAATGTCAGAAATTTACATAGCGTGCCCGGCCAATTGGTCAAAAAGGCTGATTGGACAGAAGCGCACAGAAGCCGGGAAGCTGGAGAGCAGGCTGCTCCGTGGTCTTGAGCTGTTCTCCCTCCACATTGGGGAGGATGGCTCCACCATTCAGTGTCTCCACCCAGCTCTTAGTTTGCATCATATGGGTGCTCAGCAGATGAGTGTCCCTCTGTCCTGCTTTGCCTGCGGGTGTGGTTCTGAGTAGGTGCAGCAAGCTGGGTTTCCAGGGTATCTGTGGGGTGGCCACACCTCCTTGAGGTCTCCCATGAGAGGAGGCCCCAA